AAGAAAGAAGGGAGAATGAAAGAGAAGGGATGATAGAGAAAGAGGAGAATGAAAGAGAAAGATGATAGAGAAAGAGGAGAATGAAAGAGAGGATGATGGAGAAAGAGAATGAAAGAAAGAGAGGGATGAAAGGAGAAGGATGGAGGAGAATGGAAAGAAAAGAGAAGGATGGAGGAGAAGTAGGGAGAATGAAAGAGAAGGATGATGGAGAAAGAGGAGAATGAAAAAGAAGGATGATAGAGAAAGAGGAGAATGAAAGAGAGATGATGGATGGAGGAGAATGAAAGGAGATGATGGAAAGAGAAGGATGGGATGGAGAAAAGAGGAGAATGAAAGAGAAGGATGATGGAAAAGAGGAGAATGAAAGAGAAGGATGGGAAAGATGAGAATGAAAGAGAAGGATGAGAAGAAAGGAGAAAGGATGATGAGAGAAAGAGGAGAATGAAAGAGAAGGGGATGATGGAGAGAAAGAGGAGAATGAAAGAGAGGGGATGATAGAGAAAGAGGAGAATGAAAGAGAGGGGATGATGGAGAAAGAGGAGAATGAAAGAGAAGGATGATAGAGAAAGAGGAGAATGAAAGAGAAGGATGATGGAGAAAGAGGAGAATGAAAAGAGAAGGATGATGAGAAAGTAGGAGAATGAAAGAGAGGGATGATGGAGAAAGAGGAGAATGAAAGAGAGGGGATGATAGAGAAAGAGGAATGAAAGAGAAAGATGGAGAGAAAGAGGAGAATGAAAAGAGGGATGATAGAGAGAAAGGGAGAATGAAAGAGAAAAGGATGATGGAGAAAGAGGAGAATGAAAGAGAGGGATGATGGAGAAAGAGAGGAGAATGAAAGAGAGGATGATGGAGAAAGAGGAGAATGAAAAGAGAAGGATGATGGAGAAGAAAGGAGAATGAAAAGAAGGAAAGATGGAGAAAGAGGAGAATGAAAGAGAAGGATGATAGAGAAAGAGAGAATGAAAGAGAAGGATGGAGAGAAAGAGGAGAATGAAAAGAGAAGGATGGAGGAGAAGTAGGAGAATGAAAGAGAAGGATGATGGAGAAGAGAATGAAAGAGAAGGATGATGGAGAAAGAGGGAGAATGAAAGAGAAGGATGATGGAGAAAGAGGAAGAGGAGAATGAGAATGAAAGAGAAGGATGATGAAAGAGAAAGAAATAGAAGAAAGAGAGAATGAAAAGAAGAAGATGATAGAGAAGGATGATAGAGAGGAGAATGAAATAGAAGGATGGAGGAGAAATGAAAGAGAATGAAAGAGAAGGAGGAGAATGAAAGGAGAATGATGGAGAAAGAGGAAAAGAGAGGGATGATGGAGAAAGAGGAGAATGAAAGAGAGGGATGATGGAGAAAGAGGAGAATGAAAGAGAGGGATGATGGAGAAGTAGGAGAATGAAAGAGAAGGATGATTGAGAAAGAGGAGAATGAAAGAGAAGGATGGAGGAGAAGTAGGAGAATGAAAGAGAAGGATGATGGAGAAAGAGGAGAATGAAAGAGAAGGATGATGGAGAAAGAGGAGAATGAAAGAGAGGGATGATAGAGAAAGAGGAGAATGAAAGAGAAGGATGGAGGAGAAGTAGGAGAATGAAAGAGAAGGATGATAGAGAAAGAGGAGAATGAAAGAGAAGGATGGAGGAGAAGTAGGAGAATGAAAGAGAAGGATGATGGAGAAAGTGGAGAATGAAAGAGAAGGATGATAGAGAATGAGGAGAATGAAAGAGAAGGATGGAGGAGAAGTAGGAGAATGAAAGAGAGGGTTGATGGAGAAAGAGGAGAATGAAAGAAGGATGGAGGAGAAGTAGGAGAATGAAAGTGAAGGATGATAGAGAAAGAGGAGAATGAAAGAGAAGGATGATAGAGAAAGAGGAGAATGAAAGAGAGGGATGATAGAGAAAGAGGAGAATGAAAGAGAGGGATGATAGAGAAAGAGGAGAATGAAAGAGAAGGATGGAGGAGAAGTAGGAGAATGAAAGAGAAGGATGATAGAGAAAGAGGAGAATGAAAGAGAAGAATGGAGGAGAAGTAGGAGAATGAAAGAGAAGGATGATGGAGAAAGAGGAGAATGAAAAAGAAGGATGATAGAGAAAGAGGAGAATGAAAGAGAAGGATAATAGAGAATGAGGAGAATGAAAGAGAAGGATGATGGAGAAAGAGGAGAATGAAAGATGGGATGATGGAGAAAGAGGAGAATGAAAGAGAAGGATGATAGAGAATGAGGAGAATGAAAGAGAAGGATGGAGGAGAAGTAGGAGAATGAAAGTGAAGGATGATGGAGAAAGAGGAGAATGAAAGAGAAGGATGATGGAGAAAGAGGAGAATGAAAGAGAAGGATGATGGAGAAAGAGGAGAATGAAAGAGAGGGATGATGGAGAAAGAGGAAAATGAAAGAGAAGGATGATGGAGAAAGAGGAAAATGAAAGAGAAGGATGATGGAGAAAGAGAAGGATGATGAAAGATTATGATGGATGATACAAATTTTTTTTAATCTTCATATTATTCAAGCTATTTTCAATCAACTTCTTTCACCAACTTAAATTGCATTGTTTTGGCTCTCACTCCAACTCCATAGCACAAAGCTACATTTGCCTATATTTTTGCCAATATAATTCCCATGACAAAGCTCATCACATTTTCAAGGGAAATGATAATAATGTTTGTATTATACTCTAAAGCTGTTAGAGGAAGTAAATGCAGATGCTATTTATTTTTTATATAAATATTGATAAGTGTGTTTGATCAGGCATGATTCGGACTATCAAGAATCAGTGTCCAGTGTACTTTGAAATTTTCTCTGGGACCTTTATTGTACTTGAGCCAAAGTCTATAATATTTTATGATTCTTTAGACGATGCACTAACTTAGCTCGTCCAAAATTCAAATTGATCAATACTTTGATTTTCTTACTGTTCCTCTTTCTCAATATCTTTTGGCATAGACATATGCTTATCTCTGGCTTTATATTTGGATTGGTTTCATTTGCTATGGCTGTTTTTGCTTAGAAGTATATCAATTTGCCATGTCACAGGCTTGAATCATCTTCATTTTCTTTGTATTTCATTGGTAAGAAGAAAATTCTGCTCAATTTCTTTCTAATAACTACTACTTTGCGAAACAGACAGCCAAGATCTGTTTCTCTGCTCACTTGATCATTTCTTCAAATCTAGGGTCAATTGTTATTTATCCTACATATCTTCATTATCTGAACTTTTGTCTCTTATGTCCATGCAATAACCTCATTCCATAATCCTCTACCTTAGGTGGCTCTCGGGCCTTGTATTGAATGAACATGTTACAAAAAATGTTTTTTAAATTACAGATCATTAATATTGTAGTAGAGGGGGCATGGTGGAGTAATGGTCAGCAGCTCGGATTGAGGAATCGGAGAGCCGAGTTCGAATTCTACTCAAATCCATTACATTCACTTATGTGCTAATACCCTTGGGAAAGGTATGAATCCTCCTCTTCTCCCCTCGGCTATAGCAAGAAACATCAGGTTCTATAGCCTTGGATGGCAACTGGTCTAAGAGAAGAACAACTCTAAATTCAAAACCTGATCCTCCAGGTTGGGGGTAGTGCAGTAGGTTAACAATCTACTCACTTAAAAACTGGCTTGTTACAGAAACCGCAACAATATCTTGCAGCCCAATGTTGCTCAAGGAATTTAAAGGCATAATATATATAATATTGTAGTAAGTTCAGTTTTTTTAAATCATTTCACTCTAAGCAAGGTGATAGAGCCACTAAGATGCAAGGTGTTACTGAAAGTGAAAAAAATATTATGCAGGAGAGGACAATAAAAGAACAGTTCTTAAGGCAGAAAATTAATGTCCCATTTAAATTTCTGAAGATTGTAGTTGACTGGAAAGCAAGAAGTTGGAAGACAGTTCCACAGGTGAGAAGTGCAAGAGAAGAAACTATGAGAATAGAACTTACTGTTACACTTAACAATTTCAACATTTAAATGATGAGACCTACTTGCCAACATAGCATTATGATTAAATAAATGAAGTTGAGGTACCAAAGAGGAAAAGTCATCAGAAAAATTGCTATAAAAACTTTGTTAATGTGGTTATTTAGTCAAGTTATTTCAACTATTGCCAGTGGTCAACCCTAGCTGAGAAACATGATTTCTGGTGATTCAGTACCAACCATGCTCTCTCCTTTGAAAATACCTGCAGAACCACTCTCAGGGACAAGAGGCAGAGGAGGAAGTATTATGCCATCAAGCCCAGGCCAGACTTTTAGCTGTAATTTCTGTGACTGTGCATGCCTGTCCTGCAATGTACTTATCAGTCACAAACAGATCTGCAAGCCATGTATACAGACTCCCTCAGGATCTACATTTTGCAAAGCCAAGCCATGATGATGATATTCAGTCAAGTTATACTAATATCAAATTCAAGGTCAATTTCTTTAATTCCTTAGTTCTAATTTTAGTTTCGGTACCTATAGAAAGGCTTAATGAATGTTACAGATTGAGTAGATATCCATAGAAGAGCAAGAGATTTAACAGGACAAAAGATGCTCATTAATAAGATATATAAAATCCAAAGATGGGACACAGATACTTTAGATGAGGCTCTAGCAGTTATCATGTCCAAAATTCAAATTGATCAGTATTTTTAACCAAAGATTTTTGTTCATCTTTCTCAATATCTTTTGGTGCATACATATGCTTATCTATGGCCATATATTTAGATTGGTTTCATTTGGTATGTTTTTTTTGTTTTTGTTTTTTTTGCTTAAAAGTATATCAACATCTCTATGGGTTATTCAATTCCAAAATCTAAATATTTTCTATGCAATTTTTATTTCTAGTTAATTTTTTGATAATGTTTTAGTGATACAAGTCTTACTAATTAACTGATAGCTTGGTGGGAGAAATGTTGGATTCATGCCTTTCTCAAGTGAATATAACAAACCCAACTGGAATTGGAACATGGGTCTCCAATTAACAATTCCAAGCGATTATCAATTGCATCAACTTCACATCCAAGTTTACAGCACCTGGTATTTCCAAGTGGTTATCCATCTAGGTACTGATCAGGCTCGACATTGCTTAACTTTGATGATCTCATGGGAACTGAGGTTTCAGCATGATGTATTTGGATTAGATTTGCTAAAGTTTAGTTTTTGGTGTCAGATGACAATAGTAGCATTTAGTTTTAATTATTTTCATTCAAAAATTTTAGATTGTATTCTAAATTTATTTAAAAGTTGGTCAAAATTGGCACTGGAAAATTGGCCAGAATGTTAGCTTGCCCTATGCCAAGTGGGTCCCCTATATCAAATAAAAGTGCAATGAAGAAGCAAACACAGACAACCATTTTAGTACTAAAGGGAATAATAATTTTATAAAGTCATCTGCACACTATCAGTTACTCAATCCCAATGTGAGAGGACATTTTCAAAGCTAAACATCATAAAGACAAAATTAAATTTGCTATCTGAAGAGAATTTGGAATCACACGTTACTATCCATTGAAAAGGAATTGTTAGATGAACTGGATGTAGAAGTAATTGGTAGATTCAAACAATTATCTACTAAACACAAACGATTGCTCTTAATATAGTAATAGACAGCATGCAATGTTCGATTGTGCTTTTGAATTGTTTTTTAATGTGTAAAATGTACAGTAAACCATTTAAAAATATCAAAAAACTACTTAAAGTTAAAAAGATAAATAAAAAAATTCAATTATAATATTCTGTATTTACATTTGTAATCTACTGCCAATAATATGTACATTACACTAACACTGTAATTAAGAAATACAAAAAAATTGCACCCTTTTTCTATATCTATTTTTTGAAAATTAAATGATAGCATGTAATTGTGGGTGGGTCCCCTTTGTCTCCTAGTTTAGTATGTCTGCTAGTTCAATAATTAAATGTGTAAGTTTTCTTATGAGAATATTTTATAATACATAAAATAATGGTGGTGAAAAATGGTAATGGACAAAATAACAGACCAATTGATTTGAAAGGCAAGATAACATTTATTAAAACAAAATTAAGACAAGGAAAGTTTTGAACAAGAGTTTCTTTTAGAAGTAAATTGCATACACAATGAAATATATTTGTGTGGGACTTTCTGTGTTGGTGTGTTTTAGTATGAAGTGATCACAGCCCTTTTAACTTCAGCATGGAAATTTCATGTGACACAGTTTGAAAGAGAAAAACCCAGGAGAGAGAGAGTTACTTTAGGGTCCAAGTATTTTTATATTCCAGAGCTGCTGCTGCTATGAGTTTCATTAATGGCTGCTACTGCTACTATGTTTAAGAGCTGCTACTGATATTATGTTTTAAGGGCACTAAACTAGTAAATATTTTTAGACAGTCCACCATGAAAATTGTTACATTTTTTAGTGATTCTAACAGTGAAAATGAAAGAAAAATGTCATGTTTTCAGTATAGGATGCTTTTATTTTATTTTCAGAAAGGTAAAAGACCCCTCAGATGAAAAAAAGAAAAGATTTATGTAATTTATATTGGGGATTGTGACTGATGAAATGTGCAGAAAAATGTTTTGCAAAGTAACATGCTGGAGATTTCTAACTTAATGAAGTTGAACTCAAAAGCAATGAAATGAGAATTATCTCAAGTGATATTCCTAATTGTGACTTCTAAAATCGTTCTGTCTACCCAATATCATCAACAAGGATTGGATCAACTCATGGTATGGTTTTCAGGCACTTTCCAAAGGTACCCACATGTAGGACCATCTTCTCAGGCCAATAACATCAAGAAATCACCTTCCTGACAAATCGACCATGGTGAGATTTGAACCTGGATTTTATATTCAGAAAGTGAATCTTTTAACTACTCGGCCACACAATATATGTATGTGTGTGTGTGTGTGTGTGTGTGTGTGTGAGATAAATTATTAGGAGGGTTTGAGATAATCATAATTAAGTAATTCATCGAGTCTACAAGAAACCTCAACAGAATGCAGAAAGCACTGGACGGCCTTTTCGTCCTATATTTGGGATTCATCAGCAGTGTGTATCCACTGCTGAGAGTTGAACCCTGGACAGTTACGATATGTGGCAATCATACCTACTGTACTAATGGGCCTTGGTGACGAAGAGGTAACAAATTAGACTCAATACAGTGCCACCGAGGCCTGTTGGTATGACGTTTTCCTCATATTGTAACTGTCCAGGTTTTAATTCTTGGTAGTGGATACACACTGCTGATGAGTCCCAAATATAGGATGAAATGGCTGTTCAGTGCTTTCACGCAAAACGCACTCTTTTGAAGAAAAAAACACATTATTGCTAACTATCAAGAAAAAAAGTCAATTTCAGAAATTTCTGATATTGTTCATCGGTCTAAAAGTGTTGTTCATCGTGTAATTGGTATAAAACCGATAAAATGTTAGATGCAAAACCAAAAACCGACAGACCTCCAAAAACATTGCAAAGAGAAGATTGAAGAATTGTTAGAATATCCACAAAAAACTGTTTTGAAACTGCTACATCAATTGCTCGTAAATTTAATGAAGAGACAGATAATAAGATCTCAAGGAAAACGGTTGCTCGCAGGTTAAAAAATGCAGGATTGCATGCCCGTATTCCAGCATTCGAAGCCCCTCATTTCAAAGAGAAACCAAAGGGCATGCCTGGAATATGCAAGAGTACATGTTGTTTGGACTGACGCACAATGGGATTCAGTTCATTTCAGTGATGAGTCCAAGTTTACTATATTTGGTTCTGAGGGCAAAACTTATGTACGCCGTAGAACAGGTGAAAGACTGTCTTCTCAATGTGTCAAGAAAACCGTTAAGTTTGGCGGTTGCAGTGTGATGGTGTGGGGAATGATTTCATCTGCAGGAGTTAGCCCTATCATCTGCATACATGGCAATATCAATGCTGAGATTTACAAAAGGCTTCTTCAGCAGCATGTGGTACCAAGATTACACCATAATCTTTATGAATCTCCTATTTTCATGCAGGACAATGCACCTTGCCACAAGGCTCAGAAGGTTATGGCTTTATTTGAAGAAGGAGGAGTCGCCCTAATGAAGTGGCCAGCCCAGAACCCTGACCTGAATCTAATAGAAAATGTTTGGAAGATAATTGAAGAAAGGGCTCAGAAAAGAAACCCAAAAAACCAGGATCACCTATGGGAGTTATTGAAAGACGAATGGGAGGGAATTACTGCTGATTTTTGCAAGAAATTAATTAGATCATGTGGTCAACAATGCAGAGAAGTCATTGAAAATAAGGGGATGTTTACCAAATATTAAATTTTGTTGATATTTTGTTCACAATCAAGTATTAACAAGATCGTTCCTTAACTTTTGTCCAGTAGCTTATTTCCTTTGTTCCATTTAATCTTTATTTAAAAAAACTATTATGCAAATTTTTGTAACTTTTTATAATATTTATGCATTACACCCTAATCTTTATTTGGTAAAAATTTCATTGCTAATCATGCATTACTTTTTAAGTAATACACATATTTATGTCTTTGTTGTTTCCGTTCCTTATATTATGGCCGCTACTATATATATATATATATATATATATATATATATATATATATATAGCATGCATGCTCACATGTGGGTGTCTGTGGGGCATGAATGTGTATATATATGTATATATACACATATTGACAAAAGCAGGAGAACTACTCACAAACCCCACACAACTTAGGAAGTATGTGTGTGTATATACTGATTCCATGTAACTTGGGAAGTATGTGTATGTGTGTTTATGTACTGATTCCTTGTAATGGGACGGTATGTGTGTTTGTGTGTATATATGTGTGTGTGTACAGATGAGTTCACTGATTTCTCGTAGTGAGACAACGCTTATGTATGGAAAGGGGATATATACGTATATACATGCATGCTGACAGAAAGACACGAAAATGGAAATAGATCTAAGAACACACAGGAGTCATTAAAAGATAAGAATGCTGATAACTACTCCATTTCTCCTGACCTATCTTAATTGTTTTATAACCCTTCATGCAGAACTCTTCACTGCCAGTTCAAGAAAGACATTTTGGTCACAAACACAGAAAGAGAGAATGTCTCATATCGAGAATATTTAACATCAAAAAACAAAGGAAAAAATTAATTATTTTTAATAATATGTGGAAATCTCCACCCTTTGCCTGATGATGGTCATGAGACCAGAAACACGTGTAGCAAAATTATGGAAAATAAAGCATAATATTTTTAAAAATAAATCTACATTACAACCAAAAACATTTGTGGTTTCTCTTTTTTTAATATACACACTTTTCTCTCATTGGAACTACTGTAACATCTTCCTTATATATATATATATATATATATATACACACACACATATAAAAGAATATATGGTATATATCAATATTTAAATTATGCAATGGCCAGCTTTCAATCAGCATCTGACAATTACGTTGTGCATGAAACTCAGAGTTATGTTACCTGTGAGGAAAAAATGTATATTTATTATTAATATATTAAAGAATTAACTTTTTTGCACTTGATAGGTATTCACATGTCTAGAGTAGAAAGGATTGGCCAGCTATTTAAATTTTGATCTTTTTACAATCTACCACCGGTAATTCCAAATATCCTGTTTATTTTATCTTCCATTTTTTTTTTTAACCACCTGTCTCTTTATTCCAACTTCCTTTCCAACAATTTTTCTTCTGAAAACTAATTTTCCTATCTACTCTTTTATTCAAGACATTTTTTTTAGTTGATTTTACCTCATGCAAAGCAGAAAAGCCACTAAGACACAAGGGTTACAAGGCATGGAAGAAACATTACTAATAAGCAGGAAGAAAAAGAGTAATTAGAAAGACAGTAGACAGCAATTGATATTGCATTTAAATTTTTGAAGATTAAAGTTGGCTGGAAAGCATGGAGCCAGAATGTGACACTATTTAGCTATGGTAATTAGCTAACTAATTAACCACAGAAATTAAAAAAAGAAAGACTTAAGGTGAGAAAGAGCTATATCGAAAGATAGAATGATTGACGTTAAAAACAAAAAGAAGATTTTATTTTATTTACGAAGAAAGATACTTTTCGCACGAGACAGAAAATCCGTAAGAAAAAGCAAGATATGAGATTCTGTCAAAACT